GACGGAGCTCCCTAGCAAGCCTGTCCAGTGACCACATGTTGTAATGGACTGTGCCCTGGATGGGATTCAGAAATTCCTGTCTGGTGTCTGTTCCTACCTAGTTGTGTGGTCTTGAGCAAGTTTTTTCCCTCTTTCGTGGGCCTATTACAATATAAGGGCTGAGCCTAGTGCTTGTAAAGGTCTTTGCCAGCTGTACATTCTGTGGTTCTACAATATAATGTCTTGATAATCTTGGAGAAATCCCTGATTGTCCCTGAAATAATGGGGCAGGGGCTCTGGGGCAAGTCTCAGAGCTGAGCCCAGAAGAGAGAGACACACAGACATGGGCTCTGAAGGAGGGGCCTCTGCACTATCTTCTAGTCTCAGACACAGAAATGAGACTTCCTACTGGATACAGTGTTCCTGTGTCCTCTCTCTCCTTGAGCGTGGCTTCTCATTTCCTTCCAATTCTTTTTCACACACACAAAAAGAAGGACTCAGATTTTGTCCTCAGAGCGTCCCTAGCCCCTGGTCAAAGGAAGCTTCCAGGATGAGAGGAGACCAAGGCCCTGACTTCAGGGAGCAACAGGTCTACTTGGGCATCTCCCACTCTGATCTCCTGATTGGGGCTGGTGGTACCGTTGAGTTAAAATCTTAGTTTGGTTCATGCAATGAGGAGCACAGCTTCAAACATGTAATTAATGTCAGGATTTGTAGATGCTGATGCTATAAGGGACCTTAGAGATAATCTAGGATACAGTTCCTGATTCTGAAGTTGGTAGTAAGTCCTGAAATGAGCTAACCAGAGGGGCTGCAGAAAACTTTTAAAGACCAGAAGATCTTCCTAAGAAGAATAGCCCATTAGGTCAGATGATCTGTCTCTACTGGCAGGGGCCAGACGGATGATGTATGTTAGTCCCCTCCACCTCAGAGATGCCAGGATTCTGATTCTATGAATTCCTGGTTGTCAGTCCCTCTTACCCCGTGAGTCTACTGGACTACTATTGCATGAGTCCACAAGTCTCTGATTTTATGAGCTCGTGTCCAAAGAGAAAGATAGGTTTGGGAATAACCCTGTGATTCATCCTGGCACTTGTACCAGTCATCTGACTTTGCCATGCCTTGCCTTCCCAGTCTATGAAATGGGTGGGGCATAACCCACCCACCTGTTTTGGTGGCACATGAAAGCTGCATCTCTCACCAGGGATGTTAGTGCTACTTGAAGATGTCAAACCCATTAGTGAGAGCCTGACCCCACAGAGCAGGAAGTGACCCAATCGGAGCTCACAGATGGCACAAGACACACAGATTGGCTAATAGCAGAATGGGGTCTTCCACATGGGGAAGGAAGCTGGTCTGGGCTGCACTGTCAGTGTAAAGCATCCCCATTTATGCGTCCATTTATATGTTTATCTAGTCAGTGGTCCCCAGGTCCTGTGCTAGAGCCAGGTGATCTCCCAGGAGGGCTTCATCTAACTCTTTATTTTAGAGTGCATGTCGTGTATATAATGTGTATGTATGTGTGTATATATATATGAATCTTAAGAGTATTATGCTAAGTGAAATAAGTCGATGGAAAAAGACAAAACCCATATGATTTCATTCATGTATGGACTATGAAAAAAAGTAACAAAGGAACTAATAAAACAAACAAACTCATGGGTGCAGACAGCAGAATGGAGGTTACCAGAGGGGAAGAGGGACAGAGGGTGGGCAAAGTGGGTAAAGGGGTCAAATATATGGTGATGGAAGAAGACTAGACTTTGGGTGGGGAGCACACATTAGAGCACACAGATGTTGAATTATAATCTTATACATCTGAAAATTATATGATATTATTAACCAGTGTTACCCCAATACATTTAATAAAAATAACTTGGAGTGGAGGAGACAGGGGAGCACAGTGGAATCCCCCTGTGAAGCAGTGAAAGAACCAGGACAAGGGCTTAGTTCCATTTGTGCCCTGAACTCTTTCTCTTGTTTCATTGACATGCCCTAAAATGCTGGCTTTCTAGGGAATTTCTTCCCTGTAAAGTTGGGCTGCCCCACCCTCCGTGTAAGACTGTGGCTTCTTAACTGTGTCTGTTAGGTGCTGAAAAGTATGGTTCCTAAAACATCATGGATTTTAACACTAGACACAGCATGTTATGGTGGAAAAAACAGTAAAATTTGATGTCTCTTATACCTGGGTTCGAATTCTGAATCTGTCACTTCTAGTATGTGAACTTGGGCACATTTGTTTGTTTACTTATTTATTTAAGACACTCTTATGGGGACTAAATTTGATAAGCTATCCCATGTGAAGTGTCCGGCCCCAATAAAAGGTCATCCCTTTTCCATTTCCTCCATAAAACATCAGGCCTGGGTATTAACTGATGTGGGATGCTTAGAAGAGCAGGCACTGGGGTGGCCTGAAGCCATATTCCTCCCCACTTGCACCATCCCCATGGAGAGAGGGATTGGTGGGCCTCACAGAGGAAGCTATGGAGTGTTACAAGCCCACCAGAAGCACGAATGGCAGGAGGAAGCAGGAAACTTTCCAAGCTTGGGGCAGAATCTCCCCTTCTTGCCTCCTCCAAATTATTCAGGGACGGACCTTGGAAGACCTGGGTTGGAGTGGAAGTGCCTGAAAAGTAGTGGGGGTTTGTGTTGTGTGCTCTTTATCTTTTTATTTAGGAAATTTTGGAGCCTTAGGGCTTAAGGGTCCTGGGGAATTGGGGGACCCATTATGGACAAGTACAGAAGCATCTTTCACCTGTGAGGCCACAGGGGCCATGGTGGGGCCTTGGCTGGCTGATTTGAGGGTGTGGCTATTTGGAACCAGTGCTAGGCTCAGGGGCAAGATAACCCTCTACATTGGGCAACTCAACATGGCTTGGTGGGAGGGGCGTGGGCTCCGAAAGTAGACAAGCTTGGTTTCGAATGATACCCCCCTACCTACCAATGGGATGACCTTGTTGAAATAGTTAGGCCTTTGGGTCTTAGTTTCCTTTTCTGTAAAACTAGAGCTAACATAGCCTATGTCACAGGGTTATTGTGAAGAACAAATGAAGTGATACAGATAAAGCAGTAGGACAGTTTTATTACATAGTAAGTTCTCAATACATATTAGTTCTCCCCCTCTTGCTGCACTGCACTAGGGAAAGGAAAGGAGAAAGACATCCAGGGACAATGCTCTAACCAGAAATAAAAGGCAATGTATTATAGTGATAAAGATCATGGCTTATGAAAGCCAACTGCCTACATTTAAATTCTAGCTTCTCTACTTATTTGCTTGTGACAATGGGTAACTTCCTTAGTCTTTCAGAGCCTCAGTGACAGGGCCCTGTGTAAGTGTACATGTCTCATGAACTATTTGGCACATAAAGAAAATTCAACTAAATGTTGGATTCTATTATTATTGTTATCACACAGTGTTCATTCGGCTGGAATTCCCCCTTTGCTGGGCTCTTGGGGATCTAGGCATGGTAATGAGGTTCAGAAAGGCGAGGATGAGGGAGGTCATAAGGCATGAGAAGGTGAGAAAAGACAGCCTAGATATAGATCATGGAGTTTTGGATCACCAAGAACTCATCTAGTTTCCCAAATAAACTTAGAATAACCTGTCAATCCATGGAACAAACCATTGCTTGAGGGCCTTGCTGCCATATTGAGGCAGAGACCACTGAGTCAAACTCTATGTGCAGTATCCCAGACCAGCAGGAGCCACCATGGAAGTCCTTAGAAAGAACATTCCATTTAGTCTGGGAAAATGCAGTGTAGCTCTTGGCACAATGTATGAAAAATTGAGCCACTAATCACATCTTAGACAAGTCCTTGAAGACTCAAATGACCCAGAAACAGCACCATGGGGACAGATCTCATTGGTATCTCTCCTAACTTCTGGTAAAAGAAGAATGACTTGTTTCATGAAGAAGGTAACAGGAATCATTTATCTCATGTTTAGGAAAATTCAATGTCAAGCAGAGACATGCCCTGCCTATGACTGAAGAGCCAGGCATACTGGGGAGGAATCTCACCAATGCAATGCTGGCCTTTGTCCTCGTGATCACTGGTGCTTCATTCAGATGCCATTAAATTGCCTCACTGTTGCCTATAAAAGGTCTCCCCAACTGCCAGATCCTCAGATCACTGGTTTCTTCCAGCCTTGCTCCTGTCGGCAGAGGGTAAGTCTTGGTGCCTGGGATAACAACATAGTATGAAAGAGCCTTGATGGAGTTGGCGTGGAAAACTGTGGGATGAGGGTGGTCAGGGCTAGGCATTGAGGGCAGCTGATGAAGAAAGCTGATGGCAGTAGCTGGTAGGAAACGAGCCTGGAGGGTTGGAGGAGACGAAGAGGTGTGAGCTGAGCCATTAGGCCGATGGGACGAGGGATTTTCAGAGAACTAGGTCACCATCCTCTCTCTGAGTGCAGTTGTGCAGTCCTCGCTTGGATCCACTAATGAGATAAAGTGACAGTCTAGCTGATCCAAAGAGCAAATGGTGGAAACTTACTCAAATTTGACCTTGTTAGGCTCTGTCAGGCTCAGCTTGAGACTCATGTTGGCTTGGGGTCTATTGATTTGAAATTGCCTTCCCTGGAAATGCCTGGCTGGGCAGGAGGAAAGCAAGCCCCTCTTGAATGAATTGATGGTGAGGTAAACTCAGTGGGAAACAACAGTTTCCCAAGAAGAATTCATCATGCAGACACTGAAGTGAGCAAGGGCAGAGGAGGCTTAGAGAGTTGGGCAGAAACGCAGATGTCACTCTTGCAAGCCCTTCCTTTTCCATTGTGGAAACTGAGGCCCAATGGTGAGTGGTGACTTACCCAAAGCCACACAGCCACATGAAGGAACAAGAGCTGAGCCTAAGGCAGCAGAGTCCACCTGAATGCCAGGTTGACAGCTTCGAAGTCCCTGTGACCTTCTTGACAGGCTACTCCTTGCAGACCCCTCTATCCAAAGGGGACACTGCAGGTGCCCCCGAGATCTTCCTAGCTCTGACGAAACCTTTCTTTTCAGATTTTGCAAAGCTACAGAAAGATGTGTGACCAGCAGAAGCAGGCGCAGTTCCCTCCATCTTGTGTGAAGGGTTCGGGATTGGGGGCTGTGCAAAGTACCACAGTTACCTCTGTGAAATGCCCAGCTCCATGCCCAACCCCGTGCGCAACTCAAACCTGCGTGAAATGCCCAGCTCCATGCGTAACCCAAACCTATGTGGCATGCCCAGCTCCCTGCCAGACGACCTACGTGAAATGCCCAGCTCCATGTGCAACTCAAACCTGCGTGAAATGCCCAGCTCCATGCCCAACCCAAACCTATGTGGCATGCCCAGCTCCATGCCAGACAACCTACGTGAAATGCCCAGCTCCGTGCCCAACTCAAACTTATGTGAAATGTGCTGCTCCCTGCCAGACGTATGTGAAGTGCCCAGCTCCGTGCCAGACGACCTACGTGAAATGCCCAGCTCCCTGCCAGACCAAGACATACTATGTCCAGTACCCTTCTCCTAGCCAGACCTACTATGTTCAGTCTTCTGGAAGTGGCTCTGCCGCCCAGTCCTGTGTCCCTGATCCATGCTCTGCTCCCTGTTCCACCAGCTACTGCTGCCTGGCTCCCCGGACCTTCGGGGTGAGTCCCCTGAGACGCTGGGTCCAGCGGCCCCAGGACTGCAACTCAGGATCATCTGGCTGCTGTGAGGATTCCGGGTGCTGCAGCTCTGGGTGCTGCAGCTCTGGGTGCTGCAGCTCTGGCTGCTGCTCTGGGTGCTGCTGCTTGGGAATTATCCCCATGAGTTCCCGAGGTCCCGCGTGCTGTCACCGCAACGATGACTGCTGCTGTTAAATACAGAAAGACAGCTCCGCTCCCGAATTCGGTGCCTGCCCCCCCTTCAGCAGCCTCCCAGCCCCTGCCCCTCCCCATCTGCCCAGGGGCCTAGGGCCTCACCTCTTCACCTCCCCACCTCGCTTCTCTATCAAGGCCGCCTGCCAGAGTTAGCGCGACCCCCACACTTTGGCAAGAATAAAGCTTTGGATGCAATTCAGTGACTTCCTGCCTGTTTACTCGGTCCCTGTTTCTCCACCCGAACCTCTTCTACCTTCCTCTCTAACTCTTGCTTGTCGACTAGAGGACAGGCCCGCGCTGACATGACCAAGCAGCCCGAGCTGGTGCAGTCCCCATGTGGGGTCCCCATGAGACCTTCCCTCTGCAGGCCGGCAGGATGTGAGGGTGGAGATTTGAAGGGTGCAGGGTGCTTCTTGCCTGCCCTCTGGTTGGCCTGAGGGGAGGGCTTGGCCATGTCGAGGTCCTCATGGTAGCGTGTTCTCCGAATGTCAGTAAATGCAAAATTCATCCTCCTGGGTGTTGAAGGAAAAGTGAAATCACATCTGCTCAGGAGGCTCACTGCGGTGTCCCTGCTGCTGTGTGCGGGGCTCGAACTCATGGTGGTGGATGCATTACATTTTCTCATCTGGTAGGCTTGCCTTCCCGAGGTCAAAGGGCAAAGGCCCGAGGGAAGAGGCTAGGACTCCCCGAAGCAGGTGGCCGTTCCCTGCCAGCCCTGGCGAGGTAGCCTTGGGGGTAGGTGAGAGCTCTCCGCCAGGGAGGTGAGCCTCGTGGGACAAGCACCTGGGCCCGAAGGCCAGTGACCCTTCCTCAGCAGCATGTTCTCCATTGCTTTGCTAACTCTAGAGGCTTTGGGGTGGCTTTTTATAACTAGAAACTGTAAATACACATTAAAAATATAGGAAGAGAGACAACTGTTGTTCAAAGCAACCCAATAAGGGCTGGGACATGAGCACAGGAGACAAAACTTTTGGCAAATGCATAAACAAATGAATGGACAAGAACAGGCGGTCTCGAGTTCGCCTCTAAGCAAGCTCCACTGAGTCACCCTGGGACATGCACAGAGGGTCATCTTGACTGCTGTGCTGCCTGCGAACATCTAAATCGCCTGAGGCTGCACAAATCAGACCCCCTCCCTCCCTCCCTCCAGCCCCACGAACTCACAGCCCGGTCACTGGACACTCAGAGCTGGGGACAGCGTGGCCCAGGACCGTGCTTTTCTCTTGTATCATCAGGTGGCACCTGAGATGTAGGAAGTCAAATGCTGCTTATTCAGCAATTAACACGAGCATGTGATGCTTTTTATATTTATTATTTAAAAATTAGATAAGTGGCATGAACTGTGGAAAATGTTAGTACAGAAATTTATGGATAAAAATTAAACATTACTTTTCGACTTTCAATTCCATACCCCTTTCCAGGGGTAACCTTACTGAGTTTGGATTACATCCATCTATATTTTTGTCTAGGAATCACTTATCTATAAACCATACAGAGCTAAACATTTCCTGGTCTAGTTTTTGCAGAGAATGGCATCCCAGAAGCCCAGCCTAGCACTGATTCTCATGGTTTGGAATTTTATGGTTCTAAAGTAAACTACAATGAGGGAGAGTTTTCTTGATGGATAAAGTTATGAAAATATGTAACTCAACATTACAAATGCCTATTGTCCCTCAGCTCCTCCCACCTCTGTTCTTGTCCCAGCTCTGCCACAATTCTTTTTGTAACATTGAATAAATCACTTCACCTCTGTGGGCCTCCATTTCCTCCCCTAGAACATGAAGAAGTTGGACGAGACAATCACTAAGGACCTTTCTATCTCTGACAGTCTAGTTCCAATTCTTTGAACCTACCTCAAAGTTCAGAGAAGTATCTGTCCAAGAACATAGAAATGGGGTACAGTTTGATAGGTAACTAGTTCCATCCCTTCAATGGGCACAGAGAGTCGGGTACCCAGGTACGATGACAGCTCCTCTGCTGGGCTCTGTGATTGACAAGAAGGGAATATAGGCCAGGTCCTCAGACAGAAGTTGGCGTGGAAAATAGCACAATCAGATATCATTGTCATTGGTGTAACCATCTCCACCCAGCTGATGTTTGCTGACAACTTGATTAGTAAGGCAACTGTGTGAGGCAGGTGGGTGTTGGAGGGGGCTGGGCCACAGGGGAAAAGAAAGGGGGTGGAATAATATATACAACACCAAAGGGATGGGAAAGATTGACAGTGATTAATATTCTGAGATCCTCATGGCCAACCCTTGTGTTCAGCTCACATGGATGGTCTGCTGGGACACCTGTTCATCTTAACCTCCTGGACCAGGCTTTCTGTAGGAACTAAGAAGTAGGTTCCATTTGATTTTATGTCCCTAGACCCTGACACAAAGTGGGACTCAATATATTCTTGTCAAAAAAAGAAATGAATTTGCTTATTTATGTGCCTAACCTATGGGAATTCCCTGGATTGTCTGAATCCAGTGTGATTACCTAGGGAACAGTGGAGAAGGTTCATAGGCATAGCTTCTATGGACTTCTCAGCCAGAGAAATGTCAACTTGATACCACCTACTGCTCATTGAGCCTGTCCAACCACCAGACTCAGATCCTGCTTGGGCCAAGCTCTCCACCCTCCCCGGTCCAGGTGAAGGGGCCTGGAGCACAGCAGCGAGTCTGCACAGCTGGTGGCCTCTGGTCCCGCCTTACCCTGCGCTAGCCCGGCTAACTCCGCAGGCTGCTCCGGGAGAGCTCCCACCCTGCGGGGGCCTGGGCTCTGACCTTTGCCTCCCCCACCAAAGAAAGTAAGAAAAGAAAAAGTTGATTTTACCCCTAGGGCAAAAGCAGGTTCCTTACTCTGCTATAATCTCTCTAGTATCTATTTTCTTTCAGTTTCCTTTAGCTGTGCATTTACGGAAACGCTGCATTAAACACATGGACTATAGTTTCCCAAAGAGGACGCCTGTTTCTAACAGCTGCATCCTTCGTGTCACACCATGAAGGAATGTGGCCTCAGAAAGTGCTGCGTCTTTAAAGATCTGAGCTACTTTTTCAATAGAGATCAGAGAAAGGATCCACATTATTTCCAATGCTAATAACCTTCAAATTGTCACACAGTTTCACGTACGTGGGCTGTTTCTGGGCCATTGGTTGTTTAATGCAGCCATCTCATGACACAGCTATGAAAATATTTATTGATGTTTATCACTGATGTAGGAACAAAACCAGTGAGTATCTACTACGTGCTGGACATTGGCTGGGTGTTTTCTCATTATTTAAATTCAATTATAATAATAAAAATTCCCTACAATAGGCAACGGATGGGTATCCTACCAATTCCAACAATCTAAATGCTAATCCCTTTATAATATAAAGCGTATCGGATAAAGTTTACACTTTAAGTTCCCCTCAGTGTGGTAGAGTGGAAAGAGCACAAGTTGTGGAGTCAAACGCTTCTAGAGTACAAGTTTATCTTTACTACCTGCTAGTTCAGTAAGCAGTACCTAAAAAAATGTTTAATTCCCTTTTTAAAAAATTGTGGTATAACTGACATATAGCACTTTATTAGTTTCAGGCATAAATAAACATAATGATGCAACTTTTGTATATATTGCAAAATGATTACTGCAATAAACCTAGTCAACGTTAGTCACCATAAATGGTAACAAAAGTTTTTTTCTTGTGATGAGAATTTTTAAGATCTGCTGTGGTTATCATGCTGCATATTACATTCCTGTGACTTATTTATTTTATAACTGGAAATCTGAAACTTTTGACTCCCTTCACTCATTTCAACTCCCCCTCCCCACCACTGCTGACCACTAATATGTTCTCTGTATTTATGAGCTTGGTCTCTCCCCTC